CGATTATTTGAATTTTTATATTCTCACTTTAAATATTATCTCTATAGAAGTTAAGCTTCATGTTTTACTTGGATTAAAGACTCTATTTCCTTCTGGATAAGTAGCTCTTCAGGTATATTGAATGTTCGACTTATTGTTACGGTCATTGTAGATATTTTCATACGACTGTAGTTTTCCCTTAAATTATTCTTGCTTTGGCTTTACCTAGCAAATGTTCTTTTCAAAATTTGTCGTTTTGCAGTAATTGGGGCTAAGAGAGGAAATATAATTATGGTATCAAGATATTAGTATAAGAGGCAGAAATTATCGGCGTCAATTTAAGGGACATTAATAACATTTTGAGTGTGAACTTAGTATCAATCAACTGTTTGGCATTTTATTAACAGTATACATATGTATCTAGTTGGAACTAATTACCAGATTGAATGATAAATAGCTTTTAAAGTCATGCATTGAATCATATCCAACCTGATTTGTACAGTAATACTTTGCATTTTATACATAACAGAATTCATAGGAGTTTAAAAACGTAAATCTGGTACTTGTGTTCAAGAATCGTTTGTATAACTTAATGTTCTTTTAACGTGACTTAACCGAAATAAGTCACTGTTCAAGGAAATTCTTACTTTCTATTCAAGTGAAATGATTCAGATAACTAGTAAGTATTGTATGATAATAAATAAATCTGAATACAAGTAAGAATGTTTATAAACCAGTGATTTAACATGGTATTTAATATTAGACTTCAGCCAAAAAGAACCATATACTAATCATTGAGCAAGTAGGTTAAACAGATATTTTAATGTAAAATAAAACATCTGTTAAATATTAACACTTATCAGTTATTCTCACAAGAGTTATTTTTTTTTGTTGGTTTTCCGGTTTCGTTGAATCAATTTTGTTGTTATTCACCCTCCTTTTTTTTTAATGTCTCTCTCTCTTTTATTCATTGGTTACAACTATTCTTATGGATAGAAACAGTATGTGTGAATCAATAAAATTTCGGTATTATGTTAATTGATGATAACGTCAATACTTGATTGATCAGTAGTTTTTATTAATCAGTTAAAATATGCCTTATGGAAATAGTTTTTGAACAGCTTAGACATGAAAACATTCTAAGAAAGAAAGACAATGTATGTAATGTGATAAAAACTATAAATTTAGTCAGTGACATAAATCTTTTCCCTAAACACTGGTTATGATCTTTACGATTTCGATAAGTTGCTTGTTAATATTCTAAATTATATTGTCATTATCTACATTATAGCTTTCGGCTTGTTTGGAACTCGTCGGCTAAATTTATTTGGATTCCAGTTTTAATATTCATTTTCGAATACGAACTCACTGTCTGTCACTTAAAAATTAAACAGATTATTCATTGAACTACTGGCTCCATATAACCACTAACCAAAGATGTTAATAATGGTTTCTAATTTCCGGTTATTGAAACTTGTGATAAAAGGTGTTTCGAAAAAATCCGCTTATGATGAATATAGGCCAATAAACGTTCGCGCGCGAGACCAAAGATCCTAGGTTCGAATCTCGCCAACAGGATCATGAATACGCACTGTTGAGATGTCCTATAGGAAACAGTTGTCCAGTACTTCCAGTTTCTCAACAATCTCTACAACCCCATACGGATAAAAACTGATAGATTATAGTCTTGAATTTCAACAGCGTGACGTTACAAACTGTTGAGATTTATACAATAATCTCACTCAGTTTCTTAAAAATAATCATACTAATAATATAGGATTTTCTATTATTGTTCTATTATATATATATATATATATATATATATATATATATATATATATATATAACAAGGAGTCAGTATGTGAACAAACATATCATGGATTACTATTTAAAACCGTCGTATAGCTACGATAAAAAGTTTAAGAGAATATGTTTTTTCGCTAAACTAATTATTTAGTCTTACTTATTTTATGTCTCAATGGATGTTTATTGTTTCTGGGTATTTATATGAATAATAGTCAATCCAATAAATCATTTATAATTATGCGATTATTCAGCTGATTTGTAATACTGTTTTTTTATTTTGTACATAACTATTTTGGCAGGTGGCACTTTCTTCTTCTTTTTTGTTTGTTCAGTTTTCATGTTCTATTATTATTGTAATGAATTCATTAACATGACGATTTTTTGATTGAGATCATGAATCAATTGATGTTAGACCATCGTTGGAAACCTGGAAGCACTGGACGGCCGTTTCTTCCTAGTATGGGACTCTTCAGCAGTGCGCATCCACGATCCCGCTCCCTGCGAGATTCGAACCCAGCTCCACTGGTCACGGCTTCTCACTAGAACTCCTAATCCTAATCCGTGTCGGGTAGAGACAAGTATCTACTTCAGTACAATGGAAGTTGGTCGCGCAATTTCGTGGATTGGTTGATGTTAGACATTAACACTATCGGATGCCGGCTCAGTGGTCTAGTTGGTTAAGCGCCTGGCGCGAGACCGATAGGTCCTGGGTTCAAATCTCGCAGGGAGCGGGATCGTGGATGCGCACTGCTGAAGAGCCCCATACTAGGAAGAAACGGCCGTCCAGTGCTTCCAGGTTTCCAACGGTGGTCTAACATCAATTGACTCATGATCTCAATCAAAAACTTAACAGTCTCCACAACCCCTATACTGATGACAATTTTTTGTTATTGTCGTCCCATTTATATACACAATGCAATTTCTTAGTATACATTGGGATTGTATGAATTCCTATGGTTTTATTTTATAAATTAAAACAATACTGTATAAAACACTTATAGCAAAGAAACATTGATAAGAATAATTGTTATAATTAACCGATGTTTATTTGTCTTTCATGTTTTACGTTGAACTTATTATCTGGGGAGGGTTTGTGTTTTCTTTTTTCTGGCACTTATCGACCTTAACTATTAAAATTTGCAAATTCTTATGTGTTACCTAATATACACAATTTTTCTTGAAAGTTTAAGAAAAAACTTCTTTTGTGTTGAATGAAGTATGGAAGGCGCCTAGTAATAAGTATAGTGGATTTATGATATCACTATGAGTATGATTGTAGATAGATATTTGAAATTTTGCAAACAGTTAACAAGTAATGTTTCATTAGACACAAAGAATTCACTTCATTTTCTATCTTTCCACTTCACATCACTTCCAACAGAACAAAAAACAAATATATTAAAATTCATGCATGCAAACAAGAGTAGAAAATGATCTACATTATCATATTTAATACATCTACCATGAAATAAAATGGTAGTAAACATTAGTTTAACTGGAATGTTATATTAGCAAATATGTTGCTAGTTCACTTGTATATATTCTTATTTACCTTATAATGATTTCATTTAATTCTAAATAATTTATTTACTTATTTCATGTATATATGTGTACAAAAGAAGATACCTCTTCATGATATATGCAAAGTAAAAGGAGGTTGTTGAAGAGTTGCATGTCGAGAATCCCATATGGTAATGAAAATGGGATACTGAATACAGCCATTATTATTATTATTAATATCATTATTATTAACAAGGGAGGTAATTTATGTCCTGAAGTAGGGAAAATAATTTATTACTTTCTAACTGAACATTTTATCTTTAGTCTGAAAAACATCATTTTCAAGTGTAACTTTAATTATCCGATTTAAAAAGAATCATTTGTTATTGTTTTATTTTACGTTTGAAAAAAAGAAGGACGAATATTTTAGACAAAAAAGAGGGCAATCATATATTCAGGAGGGGTTTTGTGGAGATTTCAGTAATTTCAGTAGTTGAAACCATGAGTTAATTGAAACTAGAACACCATGGAAAACCTCGAAGCACTGGACGGCCGTTTTATCCTAGTATGGGACTCGTCAGAAGTGTGCATCCACGATCCTGCCCCCCACGAGATTCGAACCACAGGACCTATCAGACCACTGAGCAGGCTAGAATCCAACGGTGTTAATGTCTATTTTCAATCAATCCACGAAGTTGCACCACCATACACCATTGTCTTCAATGACTTCGCCGAAAAGAGAACTCTTTGCTGAACTAACTTTTCTTATTTATTATAAAATGAATTTAAACTTCACCTTATTGTAAAAAGGACACGATTTCGACTCATGATGTTATAATCGCTTAATTAAAAAAAAGAAAGTTCTAAATTCACTTCTTCACAAAGGTCGTTGAAGATTAAGTGCTGATTTTTATTGAATGTAATTCATTTTTTTCTGAAAAAAAATGTGGACTCATTGACTTAAATGTAGCCGAAAAGAAGTCAGAGGAATACTTTGAGTCCGATTTGTTGTAGATATATAATCATCCACTTCTTGTTTAGATTTATTAAGGTAGCTAATTGTACGGGAAAACATGTTATAGCGGTATTAAACTTCCCTTTGTTTTGTAGTCTTTACTACTTTTATTTATATACTACGTATTTCAGAAATTTTCGTAGAAAATTTTATTTCATTTACTAAACTCATTAATTTGGAAAAAAGAATGATAAGAATTTAATTTAATAAGCCAACTAGTCGGTGCAGATATTGAGCTGTCAATGGAGTTTAAACTATTTATTACTATTGAATATATCAGATGATGAGGAGGATCCATTTTATTTTATTTGTTCTGTCGAGGTTTATGACCTCCAGAGAGTAACCATCCACTGTACCAAACGAGATCATGTCCAGGACATGTAGGTTACGGAGTAGGTACAATACATTTTAACTTGTGAGCTATATATTCTACCTGTTATATTGTGCAACAATCATAGAATGATGTTGGTGAATGGCTGCTTTATACCCAACATAGTTAAGCTGAATCAATCACAATATATAACAATATTGGCACAATTAACAATGGCAGGCCTCGCAGACAGTAAAGTATTCCAGTGTTCTAAGAGAAATTAACATAGTTTGTAATGTTTATTTACAAATGTGTAACATGGTTTACTTTAGAATTTTATTTAGATAATGTAAATTCACTTATCCTTTTTAATTGTCAATGTATTTTCAGGTTGTAGTCAAAATTTTCACAAAAAATGCGCGTACAAAATACCCAACACATGTACTGGTATAAGTACTAGATCAAGTTTAACGAAACAATCCAGTTTTGAAATAAATAACCAATCATCGTCCAATTTGTCAAAAACTACCGTAGGTTATTTTTTTTTAGCTTATCTTTCATTTTAAAGTACATCTTTCTTTTTATTATTGCTTTTTTATCCGACTCTCATATTTATATCATTGAACAATGAGTATTTTGTCTGTTTATTTAACCTGACGTAACAAAGTAACTTAAGGACTCAATGATATGATGTTAACTATAAAGTTTGAATATTTTAGGCCTAATTCTGTGTCATGCTGTAAGAGTGTATTAATGATGAATTCAGACTATTACAAATAGTTTTCATGGCATTTCTAGATGATTATTATTCATAATATAAAGTAAATTCACCAACAGATTTGTAATACTGATATTGCGTCATCATTTGCATTGTTAAGTTTATTGTTCATTGTCATAATTTTCTAAAATATTTGGTTGAAACGTACATTGTTAATTTGTCACCATTTTGTTTCTAATGAGCATTTAACCATCAATAGGTTTTTGGTGTATCTATCCTCATTTTTTTAAAAAATTTGCTCTTAGGTATATTAATTATTTTATTCGTGCAAAACTAGGTTTGATTATAACTTTGAACTGTAGTTATATTTCATGGTAGGTTTGATATCAATTAGTATACCAAGGTTTTGATGAAGTTTTGTTTTCTGTGCTGGATGGTTTAGTCGTGGAGCTTTCGTCGTTCTTCTGAACGACATCATCAGCACAAACTTCAGATAGAAGTGAAGTGTTCGAATTTCTCCATATGCGTTTCACAGCTTGTTCTATACACCTCGACAATGATTGGTATACCAAGGTGAAATGGACAATATTAACGACCCCACAGGGAATCTAAGTTAAAGATTGCAACTTTCTTGTTGAGCACGTTGTGTTGAATTACTCAAACCAATAAAACCCGATGGTAATCAACATCAAAACACTTTGAATAAATAATTATAGGATCGTATATTTCTAGTATCCTTTTAAATTATACATGATTTTTTTTCTATAAAATATAATCAATGGGAAGATACAAGTAAACAACACCAAGTAGAATATAAGATATAATCAATTATTGAGATTTTTCATATTGTTGGATTTAAAACAAAATTTGTAAAATCAAATAGATTCATACTACTTATTAAGTTTATTATTATCTACTTAAATGCCTTAAAATTTCATAATTGAAAATGATACGAAAATAAGAGCCTTATTTAGAAAGTAATGAAATCATTTGTCTCTAAATTCAAAAATATGGTAGGTAGTATTTGTTACCTAGAAATGAACGTAAAATAACAAAGATATCTTGGAGAATCCTAAATGTGAGTCAAGAGTGAAAGTCATGAAATGTACCATATATTTCGAATGTCTCACGTAAAATCGAAAAAAAGTCATATTTTGAATCAATACTAATGGAGAAACACTCAATAAAGAAAAATAATTCCGATAGAAAAGATTGTGTTATTTATTATCATTGTTACTTATTTAAACACATAAATATCGGTACATGGAGGCACTAAACAGGTATGCGCCACATAAATAACTCGATTTGTGTGAGGGATGGGATACTGCCCGGATGCCCAAACTGAACCAGGTGGTTTTCTTAGGGGGCCACACCCGTAGCCTTCGACCTAAAGGTCTAATCCATAAAGCAGTGGAGCAGCGTCAGAAGATGCAGTCCTATGGTAGCAGGTGACCAATGATTTGTTCATACGCTAGTTGTTCCTACAGGATCCTGAAGCCCATGTGGATCATTGGTTTGGAATCAGTGTTTTCCAACTCCCCTAGGAGGACTCTCCATGTCCACTAACCCGGACATTCGCTTTTCGTCCTCTCAATTTCGTAAACAACACCCCCACTGCCAGAATGCAGTGAGTAGGACTTTCCTGGAAGTGGTTGTATGCATATGGCTATGTGAGAGCATTTGGGGTGGGAGAGTTGACTCTCCCCACTCTCGGCTGTACTCGGGTATTTGGGGCGAGAGAAAAGGTGAAAGTTAAAAATCTTTAACACAACTGACACTGAATATCGTTTTTATTAAATATTTAGTAATTTGAGAGTAAAATAAAATCAAAATGATCGGGAAAAAATGGATAAGAGAGAAATGTATTGAAAGATTAAGATTTTTACTTGAAAAAAAAACAGGTGAACATATTTGTTATCAGCCTAGTGTAGAATTAGCAAATAGATTTCCACTTCTTGCATGAATAATACTATTGGCACTCGAATTTTATTGTTAAGGTTGAATATATATATCCTTTCAAATAATAAAACACACAATTATGACATGTTATTTGCTATAACCGTGACGGCAGCAGATTAGAGGACAGCGAATTATCGACCGGACCAAAGACGCGCAAACACGTAAGAACAGCCTGGGGTTCTGATTGGTCCCGCTTCACTGTCTAGCCCAGCCAGTTGAGTCCAGAACACAAGTCTCAGCCTCTGAGTTATGAATCGTTATATTTCAAACATACTTTGTTTATATACCAGTCAAGCAGACCACATCGTACCATAAAATAGAAAATAACATTGTACAATATTGACCAGCAGGAAAATGACACGTGAAATAAACGTTGACCAATGAGGAAATAACATCATCTCAAGTCCAAGGATAGCGTTAGACTTAAGTGAATAATTTTTGGGATATTTTTCTGAATATTCCAACATTATTATATGTGAAAATCACTTTCGGAATGTTATAAACATCAGAAAATTCTATGATAGCCAATAATGGACATTTGTTTGTCAACCAAGTGATTTGTTTTTAGAACAGCAACATGGTCTTGAAACATTACACCATCGTTTCCTAATCACCTAAATAATATGATTAATAGAATTGAATATCAACAACCAATTTTTTAGTGTTCGAAGGTTTAGTTTTGTTAATTGTGTTAAGTAATAGGACTCCAACTTTAAATAGGGTTTAGTTCAATCTATTCTGAGATATCAATTTCATTAAGAAATATGATAATATTTAATTAGATGAATAAAGTATATGGTTGAGGGGTTGAACATATCACCTGTAGTTGGAATAGCTTTAGTCAACTTTCTTTATACCAGGTTCAAGCATGATATGTTAATTATGTGATATATTGTATTGTCATTGAGATAAATTTGATCGGATAGATTTGAATACCTTAGTAGATATATTAAACATTTAACATTTAAACAAAGCTTACACAAATTATATTCTTCTTGAAGATGTACTTTTTGTTGTATTTTTGCTTTTGCCATCTTTTTGAATTCAGAACATTGTTTCGTGACAGCACTTTTTAAATTAATGTATTCATTAATTTACTTAAAATAATTTTATATTATCAGTATAGGATTGTGGAGATTATTAAGTTTTTGATTGAGATCATGAACTGATTGATGTTAGACCACCATTGAAAACCTGGAAGCACTGGACGGCCGTTTCATCCTATTGTGGGACTACTCAGCAGCACACATCCACGATTCCAGGGCATTTAGTCTCGCGCACCAACGATTAAACTCTATACCACTGAGTCGGCATCCAGCGGTGTTAATGAATAATCTCAACCAATACGCAAAATTGCGCGACCATCTTCCATTTTACTGGGGTAAATACCTATCTCTGCTCGACATGGATTAGCTCCAGTGGTCACGGCTTCTCACTAGAACTCCGAGAGTTCCCTCACGAAGCTAGTCACTAGTGAGCACATGGTGATTATCAGTATCGAGTTGTGGAGATTATTAAGTTTTGATTGAGATAATGAACCGAATGCCGCGAGCGGGATCGTGGATATGCACTGCTGAGGAGTCCCACAATAGGATGAAACGGCCGTCCAGTGCTTCTAGGATTTCAATGGTGGTTTAACATCAATCGGTTCATGGTCTCAATCAAAAAAGTTTATGTTACCCAAATATTTGGCACTTTTATTCATTTACTTGAGAATATCACATGATAATTGACTCCTTATCAGTTAAAGTTTATGGGGACTAACATAGAATAGATAGAATATGGTTAGCAGTGGAATTCAGGATAGATGTTTCGTTCTGGTTCAAACTCATCAGCTGAATATATTTACATCTCAGGAGTAATGTTCACACTGGCACTTAAACCATATACCTTTCTCTTCAAATGCCTATTGTGTTATCTACCGAACTGCTGGACTCACATAGATACTAACATATGAAAGAAGTATATTTTGAACAACAAGTATTGGTAATATTTGTTGAACTGACCTTTATTAGGTAATCATTAAAAATTAAGAAACGTTAGATAGTATTCTCTTCTTAGTATAAAGCGTTTTAAACTATCACCCATTCACAACCTCTCTGCATGTTTTTTTTTTCAAATTTACGACAGTATGTGATGTCATCAATAAATACTTAATAGAGTTTCACCGAAAGGTCACATCTTTATAATTCTATGTATTTCACTTGAATTTTTGTTCCATATTTTCCCTTTCCCTTACTCTTTCACTTCTGTGATATTCAAATCATGAATTGGACATTTAGTCATTTCATGCATATGTACATTGTACTTATTTCTTATCTGGAATAAATTATGATTACAGTCGATGAGTTAAAATAAAATTTAATCAAAAAAAAAAACAAAAAAAAAAACCAATTTATTTTATTTTTCATGATACTCAGAAGATTCATAATTAATAATAAGCGAATAAAAAGTACATAAAGATTGGTAGCCACATTGCAATATGGTCGATAGCATTCGATCTGCACTAAATAACGACTTAACACACATGACATTGATCACCATCCAGTGATCAATCAATAGTGAGTAAAAACTATATATTTAGTAGGTAACTAAAATAAGAAAATAAAACTAGTTCTAAATTACGCAATCAAACAGAACTAGAAAAAGTATTTGAATGAAATAATTCAAAGGTTCCGTTTATTTTGTCAAATTCTGAAGAGGCCTATCCTAATGTTAACAATCTATTCATAAGTAACTAGTTTTGAAGTGTACTTCTCAGAGTCACTGTGAAGAACTGTGGTTAGTAAGATTTAACCTTGTAAAATGCAAGTTGGTTATCAACTAATGTTTGTACAATATTGCAAATCAATT